GAACGGGCTTTCTGACATGAAGTTTGTGTTATATTTATCCAGTCGAGTCTTTTTTCCTGTCGCTATGTTCTTTTATACTTATAAAGTATGGCAAATATAAAAGAAAAAAAATGTTTACAGCAAAAAAAACTGGTTATTTTTATTTTTTTAGAAGTGTACGGATTACTAGCGATGGCGGCGACGCGGTGCAATGGTGGATCTCCATCCGTGTGCGTCTTCGAATCCATTGGCGCGAAGATCGAAGTCTCTAAGCGTGTTGTGAATGTCCTCTTCTGAAGACATAACAAAGGGTCCATATTGATGCACCGGCTCGTTCAAAGGTTCTCCTGTTATCACCACCACTTCAAGGTTTTCATCTTCCGCTGCCGTTAGCAACACGCCGTCTCCTTCCTTCTCCATCGCAATGGCTTCATGAGCTACAACGTGTGTGTTGTCACATTTACCGCTCCCCGATAAGCCGTACACAAACACATTGTGATTGGTTGAAATGGAATACTCCATCCTCGCTCCTGGTTTCAACAGAAAATGTACGTACGTCACTGGAGCTTCTGTGTCGACTGGTCCCTTGTAGCCGAAATCTTGTCCAGCGAACACAATGGCCTCGATGCTTTTATCAGCATTAAAAGCATGCGGTACGGACTCGCGACTGCTTTCTTGGTATCGAGGCGTGATCATCTTCCTCTCTTTCGGCAGGTTCACCCAGAGCTGCAAGCCGTGAGCTGGCTCAGTACTCGAGGGCATCTCTGCGTGCATGATGCCTCTGCCGGGCGTCATCCATTGCAAGTCTCCGGGTCGCAATTCCCCTTTATTCCCAATGAAATCCTCATGGCGCATGCCTCCTTTCGACGTTGGGAACACGTACGTGACTGTCTCGAAGCCGCGATGTGGGTGATCCGGGAAACCTCCCGGAAGCCCCACGTGGAACTCGTCTAGAATTAAGAACGGATCAAAGTTGTACAGAACGGGAGACCCGATCGAGCGGCGTATGTGCGCTCCAGCACCATCGTTTGTCTCGATAGCTTGGAAGCTCTTGGCTGCTTGACGAGAGTTGAACGCGGACATTGTGGTAGATGAGGGCAAATCGGAAAATGTGGTGCATTGAAGTGTTGACGACGATTTTTGATTACGCCCAATCAGACACAATATTGTGTGTCATTGAAGATATGCAATTTGATTGGGGAAAACGAATTTTCTCCAATTAAATGGTCGCAGATTAGAAGTGACTTCGTAATCATAGTCTGTGTAGTAGCTAGCAAAAAAACAAATAACCGCTTTATTTTCTCTGTGACGTGTGAGAAACTACATCATGGCTACAGCCTGACATAAAACCACTGTTCCGTCGTCCGGACAACGTCTTCCTCGTCGAAGTCGTTAAACTCACTAGCTATAGACGCCACACTCCTGCTGCTGCATTCTGTATCCGTAAATGACAGCGTGCGATGCTTATCGCCTAGAGCGAAGCCATCGCCGGCGGCGTCATGGTCTTCAAACGCTTCTGCGGCTCTACAGAGTCGGCACTCGCTCGAAGGAACATCTGAAAGTGGATCCACGAAGGTCTGGATGCTGACGGACAGCATGTAGACGTCGTAGTGTGGGGTGAAATACTCGCTCGTATAACCCATGGCGTCCTCTGCGACCTCGTCGTCGGACTCGGAGACGACGGGTAGCTGAGTGAAGCTGTCGTCTGGGTCGCCGAAGTCTCCATCGTATTCCCCGTCGCTATCGCTGTCCTCGTTTTCGATGTATGAGGGCAATTCTTCAATGCACTTGTGGTTGTTACCGTCCAGAATTCGATTTAGTAGCCAACAAGCCGTCGCCATCGCGCCTGCTGTGCCTGCGGCCACAATTGCTTTCGTAATCGCTCGCGTCGCTCGAGATTGCATAGTGAGGTCTGTGTGGTCGTGCTTCTTTTTCACTATGGATGGCTTGCCTGTCATCAACGCGATCGACTGCACGGTCATGGCGACGGATGGTCCCAGTTAAATATGCGGATAGATCCCGCCGCTGCTGCCAGACATTCCGCGAAATGCCTCGCAATGATGCCAGGTATTCGATTACATCGAAGCATTCTGATAAATCCGGACGTATTAGGAAAGGCTCCAAAATAATTATTGTGTGCAAAATAATGCATATTTCCAAACGGATAATGTATTTTTGTCTGCTTTTGCTTTTTTCCTTGAGGAATTTATTTTACCATCTATTTAGAGAATCAAAAGCCGTTTGCGCAAAATTTATTTTGGCTCTAGATTTAGAGCCATTGACAACTTTTTATTTCTTGCCAATACTGTAATTCAAAATAATTGGTTCTTTCTAAAAGAAAGCTTTTAGGAAGCGCTGGTATTAAGATATAGACAGACGAATGACGGTAAGCTTAACTAATGTTGTGTTCATAAATTCTATCCATGCAGGTTTATTACTGGGTCTACGGATCCTACCTTCAGATCCATACTAGCTGTAGAGAGCTCCTACGCTGTTCGTCCTCCTCATCGTCCGTTGTGTCACTCACCGGCTCCATTTCGTCGTAGTCTGAAGAGGCCACCGACTGGCGTAGTTCCATCGATTTGTGTTCTCGCACTTCAACAAATTTGCGGTAATTCTTCTTGTCTTTGTAGTCGAAATACAGATTCATTCGATCAGACTGCCAGCCCTGCAGATTCAGCTTGTACGTGAGTCGTTCGCCACCTTCCAGTAGACGCTGCTCCACACCCGCTGTGTCCAGTTCTAGAAAGAGACACAATGAAACCAACACTTTGCACACGCGGTCTGCCCCATACGGGGCCTGGTAAGAACGGAAGTGGCGGATGCGGTAGTTTGCACGCAGTATTGCGAGTATCGTACGCATCATTGCATCCAACGCCTGTGTCCTCTGTGCGAATACGTGCTTGGACTGGTGGTTGAACAGTGTCCGTCTGGGAAACTCGATGCTGCCTAACACAGCGAATAGTGACCAGAACGGACACGATCCTAGAGCGCAACAGCACGCCCGTACGTTCTTGCAGTCGGTGAGACACAGTAGCTCTCTGTATAGCGTACGACACTCACTGTAGGTGCGTAGAACTTCATGCACCACTGGTACTTTGTGTCTATTAAGCGTCGTGGGGCGATCCAAGTCCTGTCGACGAGTAATCTGTCCGTCGTGGTGGCCGCGATTTCTTGGTTGAATGGCAAAGACATACTCGGGCGACGATGAGCACTCTCCGCGCGGGTTCACTCGTGCTACCTGCACGTCGACCTCGCGTAGCAGCGCAGTCTTCATACTAGTAATTCTGAAGTGGTTTCGTACCAATGGTCGGCTAAAATGGGAAGTGGTCATCCAGATCCTGCGATATTTAATGAAGGGATCAGTTACTGACACATGTAATTGCTCTCAACCGTGTGAGGAATGGCCACGGCTACGCTGTCGTTCCAAAGCAGATGGACTCCAATGATAGACCCCAACTCACCGAGAAATTCTTTGGCGTTGATGTGTGTCAAGTCGGAAATGCCCCATGCTCTCCGCCTCGACACAACCCTTCTGGTGTGTAACGGCGGAATTACAGTTCTTGATGAAAAATTGGTTTGCAGGTAAGGGAAAAAATGAGAAGGTAAAGAACAAAGGTTTAAGGTAAACAGGATAGACACGCAACAACGACGGACTGATCAAGTTGGCGTCACCAGCGCCAATACCCCCGCTTTCCCAATTACATGGTATCATTAATATGAAAGGCGAAAGACACGGTTGTCGAATAAATACGATCCTAAACGAGTTCTAAATGTCAAACTTTATCCTGCAAGTCAAATACTTCTACTGGTAGTACCGGTGCGATATTAAGCTGTTGTCCTAAACCGTAGACCGCGCTTTAAGGACAAATAGGACTAGGACTCGTTTATTAATAGCATTATCTTCTTCCGGCTTTACGTTCGGGGTAATATAATAGGATAGGTAAGCGCTCTATAATAATCAATCGCAGACAACGATTGTCGAGTCCGTTCAGCAAATACACCATCAATAAAACCTCGAAGCTTCTAGGCATTGCCTAGTAGGCAGTGAAAGACGAAGCGTTCTTGTTGTCTCTACCATCGTCTGGAGTGCATCACCAGGAGAGCAACACTTTGGTACATAATACAAATCGCGGAGTGCACAATAGCTACCCTTTGAGGTACACCAAGTTCAAAATACAGCGAACATCCAGCGACATCGCTTGATTTGAAGGTCTCTGTGGCCTCGACTGGCGCGGCTGTATCAGGTCTCATATCGGTCATCCTCAACGAATGCGGTCGCAGCAATGAAAATCATTTTTTCATAGTGCGTCCGCTGCCTCTTCGTGGTCCCACGCACCGCCTCCGTAACACGTCATTAGCGGGCTCCGAGCCACACACACCATAGCGAACCCAAAATTCGGCCCCATCCGTTCAGCCTCGTGGACATATCGCCAGCACGGAGCCCGTCTGTGTGTAAATCACTTTCGAAGTTGTCCTTGCCACTTGGCGCATCACCTGGGGGAGACACAGTGTTGTCTAAGGGCGTACTTCATGCCGCATTCCGGAACTTCCCGTCAAGGGCACATAGCTGCTACCTTCACTTCCTCATAGTCACCAGCATGACCATCTCCACACGTATCCGTGGCGAGCTCTTCGCCACGACCAAGCCAAGCGTCGACATTGAGCCTGCGAGTCCGCAACTCATTCGGCTACCGCTCACACGACCACCAAATGTGCCCAGCAGCAAGAAGAAACCCCAGAAGAAACCCAAAAAATTGACAAAGCCCACGAAGTTTAAAGTGAAAAATGAATTGGAAGATCGACAAACGCCGCACCGTCACGGTTTGCCATGGACGACCGACGAGCACGATCGCTTCTTACAGGGATTAGAGCGCTACCCGTCCGGCCCCTGGAAAGCTATCGCGGCCTTTGTGGGCACCCGCACGCCGCGCCAGACCATGACGCATGCACAGAAGTACCGTCAGAAGATCCAGCGTCGTCGTCGAGGACTCTTGACCTCTTCGCGGCAGCCCGTGCCCGTGACGTCGGAGCTGTACGGAGGACTCACGATCACTACTAACGCTACAGACTGCGATGCAGTGACCAGAACGTCGCCAACGTCGCTGGACGCAGCACTAAAATCGACTGATCAGCAAATATCTCCGCTTGAGAGTAACTGGTTCGATAAGGTGAAAGTGAGTGAGCTGGACGCCGCCTTCCGAGCTTTTCTCGAGGCTTACGACTCTACCTCATTCACTATGGAGGACGACATGACCGCTAGTACTATCAGTTCGCTTAGCTTCGACTGCAACGTCTCCATGGACGACAGCGCTTCCATCGTGCTGTAAAATGGCTACATCATTCTTGCTCGTCAATTAACTGTAAAATTAAGTCAAGTCATTGGTTGAAATGAACTAGAGCTTGCACTTCATTGGTTAGTAATCGAAATATAGCGTTAGTATCTACTGAAGGCGCGCCGCGCAGAAGTGGCGACTGTGTCGATCTCCGTGCGACCTACGACCATCTTCGATAATCAGGACGTGACGGCACCGTACACGCAATACATTTTCAAACTCCGGAGTGCCACAAACACTAAAGAGGGGTGGAAGCTTCGTAAACGGGACTCGGACTTCCGTGCGCTTCATTGAAAGCTGCGAGGGACAAAGAGCGAACGGCAAGTGAGCTGTGGCAATCAGGGCGAAGCTTTCGCGCTGGTGCTTACGATACTGCAACAAGCAGCAGGTCCAGCGTTCCCTCGGAAGCACATTCGGAGCGATACCATTGCAATTATTTCAAGAGAGACGACACAAACTTATGGAGTATTTGGGAGCACTTTTAGCGGCTTATGTAGAGCTAGACGTGTTGCTTGGCGCACCAGAAGCATTGAAAGGCAACTTCCTCGAGGAAATTGTATGTGTTAACGCGGTTTTCGTCGAGATTGAGCGGTTCTTGGAGATCCCACCGGAGCGCAAGGCCATTGAGGCCAAGTTGACCCGAGCAGTAAAGGCATTGAACGATGTGAAACAGAATTCGAATAGTGATGTTAAGACGTCACAGTGGTGTATTTGTTTGGGCGATAATAACGTCGGTGGGTCTGATGAGGAGACGGAGAAGAGGATGGCACAGCTACCGTGTGCTCATGTTTTCCATGAGGACTGCATCATCCACTGGCTTCAGTGTGGATCTACATGTCCAATGTGTCGTTGCACTGTTGGAAAGGTGGCAAGTCGACGAGTGGCGGTGGCGCACGAGTAGCTGCATTTTTTGTTAATTGGTTTAGTTGCTTCGAATAATTTGAATGATACGACCTGGAATTTATATCGAAATATGGCATTTGTGGGTGACAGGCAGCCAAACTTCGTCGGAAGGTGAAATTGGATATTTTGAAAAGGTCATACGGCGCTCGTCATGCGCCAATGGTGAGTGATGGTGGACTTATTAGGCATTCCGTCTAGGAAATGTAATGAAAAGACGTATAGGGCTGGATTCGTCCTGAAGATATGGCCATCACGGTAATTTATTTGCGTTGAATGGCTAAATGAAGCCATCGGTCACCAATGCGTGGCTATTGGCATTTCTACAGTCAGTATCCATTTGTTAATCTTTCTATTGTACTCTCCGCCAGTGTCGATACTGCAATTTGCAAAACAGAAGCAAGCTGGATTGAATAGTATAAAGTCCCTGCGTTGCTTTTCGTGAAATCCTTTTACAAGATTTACACAGAAGTTGACATAAACTTTGAGTTTTCCGAGACCTGAAAATCTGGATATTTCGATGAAAATCCAACTGACTTACCGAAAAGAGTCAACAATAATCAGCGATGCTTGATGCCTTGGTCATTTGACGCATTGACCTCTACGACTTGACGAGGGGATCTTAAGTCTCCAAGCAAGATCTCGTCAGGATGCCGTCGACCACTTTTGAAATCGTCAAAGAGGTGCAAACAGCCCCCCCCCCTACATCGCTGCAACAGGAACAGCTCAACTTTGACACATATAAATGACCATCACACAAAGCGTCCAGCAGGAGTTCCTGGACGACGAGACCAAGGATCTCATCTGTATTCCATGCATCTCAAACTCGCTTCAGCAGCATCCTTCGACTCCAACACTGTTGCTACAGGTGCCAACTCGAACAGCCGAATCGACGAAAGGAGAACGCTGGACAGAAGACGAGCACGAACGATTCCTGCTCGGTATGGAGCTTTTCAAAGAGGGGCCCTGGAAAAAGATCGCTAACGTTGTCGGCACCCGCGATACTCGACAGACCATGAGCCATGCACAGAAATATCGCCAGAAGATCAAGCGACGCAAGTTGGGGCTGCCGGCAACGGAACCACCACGTCGTGCTGATGAATCTCGTGCTACCTCCACTACGAAAAAGTTGCGAGCGACGAGGCCAGCTGAGACCGTAACAACAGCAACAGGTGTAACAAATCGAGTGGTGGAGAGGTCAAGATCGTGCGATGTATCACCGAGTGTCCAGCAGGGGGTCCGAAAATGATATTGTTATTTATCGTAGTAGCATCTTCACGATAAATTATTGCGAAGCTAGCTTGTATGTTGGCAATACGTTATGATGCTTTAGCTAGAAGACCAATAAATAATTGAGTTACTGCTGCAATAACCAAGGTTTATTGAATCAATAACAGGTATCTACGCTCGAGTTGCTGTGTCAAGTGTTTGTGCGTCTCAGTAACCAGCATTTTCGCGCAGGAAGAGAATCATTTCTAAAGTGGGAAGTGAGAGAAAAGGAAATGAGTCTGCCGAGATCAGCCGATTCGGCAACAAAACGACTGGTTCGTGGCGATCGATTGACTGCTGCAGATAACTTCAGGAAACTGTACGCATAAATTACCGTATGTAATATGCAGCCACCATAAATTATGCACGAGCCTAGTTTAGGGTGACAACATAAATAATGTCTGCTTATTTATTGAAATTACTGTGTCGTCAATTTTTTTTTCGGGGGCCCTGGTGTCCAGTCGCCACGGGAAGCGCTGGATGACGCGCCACGTGTGATGAGTGGAAGCGAGCGAAGTCTTGCGGAGAGCAGCACTGTAGACAGTGCGGACGGCAACACTCAGGGTTCAATAACCGAGGCAGACACTAGCGCGGATACTAGGATGAACCAGCAACTCGACACGACAGAGCCGCTTGACATCGTCTCGGTGGTCCACAATAGCTGGCTCGGGCCAGATGAGCTGTGGGATTTCCTCGATGGACGTCCGATCGCTCTGCCTGATGTGGTCGGTGAGCAGATACATGAAGCAAGAAACCATTTGTGAGTTTAAGAGGCGTGGCGACGAGTTACAGCAGCTCGAAACGCAGAAACTTTCTCGTCGTTAGCCAATGCGTGTTCACACGTGGATCGGCCGTGAAGGTAGAGTAGAGTCCAATAATGAGTTACAAGTGCCCGTAGTCACCAAATCTCGAAGCAGTTGGCGTTGCTAGCACGTGCAAGTAATACAAAAAGACTTAGCTCAGTGAGTATTGTTCACCGTGGCGTGCGATTCTGTTGACAATGCGACAAACGAGTAGATCCGATCAAGTATGGGGTCGGTCACTCACATTCGAGCTCAGTAAGCATGCGTTGATCGTCACCGCGCCGAACAGATAACTAGAGCTGAATATTTCAACCTTAGGCACTTGTGGTGCTGCAGTAGTGCTGAAAGGATGAGCATTTTCAAGGGATTTGCAAAAGTCACTTGAAGAGCGTCGATCTTGGAGGGACGCTGAAAACCCAGAAGCCAGAAAGCTGGATCGACTAAAGATTCGCATCCGTCGAAAGTCACAAACACACGATAACTACGTGGCGCTCTCTGCACTAGCACAAGTAACAACATTGCTGTTACAGTGGCAACGACAACTTCGGCCGAACCGCCGTGAGTCACCAGCAAAAGTGTGCTGTTGCTGTAGCACCAGCTGCCTGCTGATCCGTCCAGCTTAAAAAAAACACTGGGTCGAAAGATACATTGTATTGCAGCCGTTATCGTTGCAGGGCCGACCTCTACAGGCGCCAGTGTTGCACCGCTGGCCCCAACTGACTCTCCGCGGAAGAAATTCACCGCGATAAGACACTCGACGCGTCCCATGTCGGCGGCCGCAGTCCGGTGGAGCAACGCTGGATTCTGTTTCAATAGCTTCACAACACGTAGCGATGGCTGGTTGTCTTCAAATAGCCGATAGCTTTGGCTGTCCACCGTGGAGAGCTCAGCTGAATTGAAAGTTGATTATTCCTTCTGTAACTTGTCGGAACCTTCACTTCACAATTCCGTTGAGCTATCTTGTCTAAGTATATTTCGTCAAGTGCGTTGGCCATCAGTTAGATTTTTCTTAACTCGTTGCAGACCTGACCAGCACTACATGGAGCGCATTTCAGGCATAGGATCACCAAGGCAATGAATAGCTGCTAACATAACATGCTTGGTAAACGCCATGAAGAGAAAGCTAGACAGTAGCTAGTCCCGAACTCTTCCACGTTTTACATCGAATGTACTTAAATAGGGTTATGCCGTTGAAAATATCCGAGGATGGATTTTCTGTAGGGGAAACCATGGAACTTCCATGGTTCCATTGGAAGGTCGTTTTCCGACTGCTCGACTTCCCCATCTGTGTGGCTAGACTAGAGAGCACGTAGACTACATGTAAGGCCCATCTCACCTTACGCAAAAAAACACAATACATGTAGCCTGCAACACTTTGTCGTGGGGCAAACAAACTGCAACTCCTACCTCATTCTCAAATCTGCGGCTCCCGAGTCAAACGCAACCTACAGCTCATTTTGCCAATGGCCATCACCGCCGACGTCAAGAGCCAATTGTTCAAGCCTAGCTCCAATGCAGGCAGTGGCAGCGAGCTCATCCGTCTACCGTCGGATACGCCGCCTTCGCCCTCCAGCTCGTCAGACGGAGAGAAAATGTCGCCTTCCAACACCAATGGCCGCGCATGGACGGCAGAGGAGCACAACCGCTTCCTCGAAGGTCTCGAGCTGTTCCCTTCGGGACCGTGGAAGGAGATCGCAGCACATGTGGGTACCCGTACCACCCGTCAGACCATGACCCACGCACAGAAATACCGCGAGAAGATCGCTCGTCGAAAGCGCGGCCTGCGCTCGTCGGTCAAGGAAGCGCGCTCGTTGAAGCGTCGACGTGACCAGAAGAAACGCAACGCGGCAGCGTCACCCTGTTCAGTGGCGGACCCGCAGATGACCTTAATCCCTACACAGTCGGCAAGAAGAGGCGTGGACCCCATGGACTTTCACGGGTGCTTCATGCCTGGGCCAGTGAGCCAGTGCCAATTTTACGGCATGGCTCCGGTCCAACAAGCAGAGTTCGCCAACTTTGCGGCCATGCTAAGCGATTTTGACCCGCTGCCCATGTCCGAGGAGGAAATCGACTTTATCCTTGAGGCTGCAATGGTGCAGACTCCAGTAGTACAGACACACACCGCGTTCGTCCTCTGACGATTTTTTTTTCAAGATTCAACAGTAAAAAACAAGCAACTACATGAACCACAAATGCACCCGACGGCAAGACCAAGAACCAACAAGGATTAACACTCCTAAGCCCCCATTCGCCACGCACATGCATGCTACCGCAGTTACGCCATTGCATGTCAATTCTTGGAGGCACACTTCGTAGGGATAGTTAGAACTTAGTACGCCCCATGGACACTGCGCAAAATAGAAACATGGTTTATCATTTATTCCCGTTTTCCTGCAATCTGGCCACTTCAACGTCGCATCCAGATGCAAAATTGTCACGATTTTCCTACGACTTGCCGAACTCTTCCGGCAAATTTCTGTTGCGAGATGTGATTCATGAAAATATGATGTTGCAGTGACAAAATAAGAATTTAACGTGTAAAATCATTTGCAATTGAGTTGACAACTCCAATTTTCCTACATGTTTTGCAACCAGCTCTAATCCCAGTACTTGATGAGCCCGTCCCAACCGCACGAGACGACCTTGCTGGGCTCGAGTGGATGCCAAATGGCCCCCATAGTCGGACCGCGGTCGTGCGCATGCAGCTTCTGGAGCATCTTGGACGTTTTCCAGTCCCAGAACGCCAGTTTACCTTGGCCATCGCCCGACATGACGAATTGCCCATTCGGAGAGAACCCAATTTGGCACGCATATCCGGCATTCTGGTGACCCCTGAACGTCTTTTTCCGGTTCATTTTGAACTTGTCACGTGCAGTGTACACGTCGATCTGGTTATTGAGCGATTGGCCGGCAAAGAAGCCACCGCTCGGATGCAGCGTCACAGCCGGCATCGCGTGCATACCCGGCTCGGAAATGTACTTAATCGGGACGGGAATACCCCACTCCCACACCAGCAACTTCTTGTCATCGGAGGTACTCACAAAGCGCTTGTTGTCGTCCACGAACGTCACACTGTTCACGGCCTTTAAGTGGTGGTTGTACTCCTGCACGATCTCGCCGGATCGAGTGTCAAATTGCACCACCATATTGTTCGAGTCGCCCACTACAAACTGCGTGTTGTCGAGCGGGTAGAACTTGACACAGTACGGGACCCGACGCGTTGTGAACGAGTGCACCGCTTGTCCCGTTTCTGTGTCCCATAGCTGGATAAACCGATCGAAGCTGCAACTCAAAAACTGTTTGCCATCATTGCTAAAATTTATACCACGAACAGCAGCTGAGTGGCCTTCGTATACACGTTGGCACTTGCGTTCGTTGTATACGTCCCAGATACGCACAGTGTTGTCCATACTGCCAGAAAGCAACAAGTGACCAAACTTGGGGAACAGCTCGATAGCTTGGACGCCCTTGGTGTGTCCCGTCCACTTGTGTACACACCGTTTGGGTAGGAACACCTGGTGGTCTCCGTCGTCGGGTTTCAGAGAGCGTGGAGGCTCCACCCACGCACGTCCCTGGTAGTCGTACTCCTGATCTCCTAAGAACGTCGACTTGCCTTCCAATGCTGTCTGGCCAGCCTTCAATCTGGCTGGCAACAAGTGCGACGTCTTCCTCTCTACCATCCGGTCAAAGTCCATCTCCTCATCCACTTCTGACTTCGCTTCGGCCTTACGTCTCTTGGCTTCTTGGTGTTCTTCCCTCAGTGCCTTCTGCTGTTCGTTCATGATGTCTAGCTCAGCATCGGTGAAGTGTTTATTCTTGTCCTTGTATGGAGCCCAAATACCGTCCGAGTTTTCGTCTCCAAAGTCCTCAGCTGCTGCTCGTTCCTTGGAAATAATCTGGTTCTTCCTCTTCTTGGCGTTGCGTCTAGTGAACACGTCTTCCTCGTCCGGGGCGACGATATTGTCGGGGATAATCTCTCCTGGGAGTGCTGGGGCGGATGGAGGGGCCCCTTTGACTCTGTTTCTCGGGATATTGCGGCTTAAAGTCTCGTTGAAAGTGTGGTATTGCGCCTCGAAGCTATAGTCTTCCATGTCTGCCTGCTCCACGACACCTGTGACCACTTCCTTGCCACTACCGGCACGTAAAGGATCCATTAGTGCCAACTCTGTTGAATCGCCGCTTTGAGGGCCCATAAATGGCGCTAGAGTCGACTCTACGGGCAGATTCACGGCCAATCGGCGTTGTGATCCAGCCGATAGAAACGCTGTCTTGTTGGCCTGATCCTGGCTGTCTGAATGCGCGACAAATGGCGCAGAGTTGACTACGGGTAGCGAGAGGGATGGTGCATCGGTAGAGCGCGGTGATGTCGAGTGTGGGGGGGTCTCATCTTCGCTGGATGCGTACGCACCGAGCGCCTCCATGGTGTCCTTGGATTGGAAGTGGTAGGTGGAGTACATAATATGGTGTTCTTAACACAAGTCTGAAAGCAGTCCCGTTTCTGCCTATGAAGTAGCGTTTTTTTTTTTACTCCATCATTTAGAAAGGGTAAATATATTATGAAAGGAAGCAGCGATCTGTTCTTAAGACCAAGTCAGAAAACGTTAGTGTCATTATTAAATATCAAAGGTCAGCTACCCGTTACGACGATGCACGTTCACCACCGGCCGCCATTTGCCATTTTGTGGTGGAAGAGAGAGAATCAGATCGTCAGCGCTCACATCTCCGTTGCTTCGCTTGTGCGTCAGCTGTGTGCTTTGTCCATCACTTGCCTTCTTGCACTGCGTTTCCTCTCTCTTCTCGTGCAAGCCGCGTCTTCACCCATCAAGTACACGCGTCGCTATCCCCACAAACCCCATGACAGACTCTGTATGGGACCAACATAAGGCCATGCGCGCTTCGTCGCCTCAAATCACGGGTCGACGAGAATCTGAGCCCGGTTTCACGGACTCCTCTACGCCCAAAGCGCTGGACATCGCTGTACCCGGTGGATTCCGCCGTCACCACGTTCAAACAGCTCCCCGACCTGTTGTGTCCAAAGCGCTGCGTGACCAGATCATCGACCGCATCAACAGCGTCTACGACCCGTTCATTGGCAACATCTTGAGTCAAGACAATGACGAATACGACGAGATGAACGTCGAGGACCGTGTACGTAGTCTGCTAATGACACCGCCGCCAATGACTCTGCCAGCACATCGTCTAAGGCCCCGAGAGTGAGTCAACTTTGCCAATGTTTTGCTCATTTTGTCGCGTTATCTGATTTGTGCAATTTTGTGATTTGTGTCCTTGCAGATTGGGAACACCGACGGAGAAAACGGAGCTAATCCAGACGCAGTCGACCCCACCGAAGTCGAAAGATAGTGACAAAACAACAACGTTGTGGCATGCCTTACTGACTTTGCTCAAGTCGTTTGTGGGGACGGGAATCTTGTTTCTACCCGATGGATTCCGTAGTGGTGGCATTCTCTTCTCGCCTCTATGTTTGACCTTCGTGGCGGCGTTGACTCTATACGCAATGTTGCGCTTGTTGCAGTGCCGAGAGCTGGTCGGTGGCACGTACGGTCATGTCGGGTTTAAGGCTTATGGTTCATGGGGCCGCAGGATGGTGCAAGTGTCAATCATCATGATGCAAGCAGGCTTCTGCTGCACGTATGTGATTTTCGTGGCTCAAAACATGGCTGAAGTGCTGGATTTCTGGGGCTACCGTGTGGATACGTCTCTGCTTATCTTGTTGCAAATTGCTGTGTACATTCCGCTGTCTTGGATCCGATACATCAGCTACTTTTCCATCAGCAACCTCATCGCTGATGTGTTTATCTTGTACGGTTTGGCCTTCATCTTGGGCAACAGCTTTTGGCAATTGGCAACTCAAGGACCTGCAAAGGACGTGGTGCTTTTCAACCAGAATGATTATCCGGTTTTTATTGGAACTTCAATTTTTACATTTGAGGGGATTGGCTTGGTGTTGCCTACACAAAGTTCGTTGAATCAGGCGCGTCAGAAACGTTTTCCACGTTTGCTTTCTTGGACAGTGGTCGGTTTGCTCTTCTTCTACTCGTTCTTTGCTGGCTTCAACTATATTACGTTTGGTAGTGGCATTACACCTATGGTCACGTCCAGTCTGCCACGTAATGGCTGGTCCAGCTCGGTGCAGTTCGGATACGCGTTTGCACAACTTTTGTCGTATCCTTTGTTCCTGTTCCCTGCTGTGAAAATCATGGAGGAAATGTTGGGTTTCCCCCGACGTGCGTCGGGTCAGAAGGTGGCAAAGAACTGTTTCCGAGCTGTGGCTGTGCTTGCTACCATTTGCATCGCGTACTTCGGTCAAGATCGTCTCGATCTCTTCGTGTCTATCGTCGGTGCTTTTTGCTGTGGTAAGCTTTGTGATTATTTCGAAGTTTTTATTTGCTGATTGTTGAAGTTGCCTCACTTTTACTTATTTGTTTCAATTTGTGACCAGTTCCGTTGAGTTTGGTGTATCCACCGCTGTTCTACATGAAGTTGAACCCCAACTCGTCGTGGATGGACAAGATTGTCGACTCGTTCGTGATCGTCGTGGGCTTGCTCACGTTCTTCTACGTCACGTACTCGAACCTCCAGTCGTGGAGCAAGTAGCCCACATAGCTTAGAGCGTCTCAACTGCATCATGTTCGGAAAAATGTCATTTAACTTTACGACAAATTACCTTCAAGTAGACGCAAAAGATTGCAACATAGGCAACAAATTAACAACCAAAAATTAAAAGCAAAATAAAATGCGACATCACTTGCATCTTGTGGAAATAATCTCGTATTCCATTTGACTTATGATGCCAAATCTTCTGCGGCAACTATGGCATCTTGCCAGCAGATTTCTATGCACTAAAACAAAAAAGCAAATGTGGCGGGGTCTAAAATGATCAACCCCCCAGCCTTCATCCCTAATGCTTAGTCGTCCTCCTCGACCTTCGGGGCAAGGTAGAAGCGCATGTAGCCCATGTCGCCAATGGCGTACTCGACGACGACGGGAATGCCGGGCGACATGCTAAGCGTCACGGTCTCGGACAAAGGCGTGGCCTTGGCGAACATATTTAAATATCGGAGCGCGAACGTAAGCTCCACAGGCTCCTCCATGGTGATGATGACGCGGTCGCTCTCCTTCTCGGCGGCCGTGTTGTTCTTGAGCGTGATGTTACCGGCACCAAGGTCACCCGAGACCGAGAATTTGACGCCCTCCTTGCCAACGGCAATTGTGCACGTGTCACCCATCGTCTGCAGGTCGCGGCAGATACGCTGAAACTCGCCAGCGGGCATACGGACCGTTGCAACATACTCAGTGCCTGGGATACCCAAGTGTTCACTGTCAATGTCCATCAACTTGAGCGAAAAGTCCGAGACACGATCGCCGGCTGCAAAAAAAAAATTGCAGAAGATTAGTCATCATTGCCAAAAGCAACTTTTGCGGCAAATAATTTGACAACGTACAAGTGGCCTCGAACATGATGTTGAGCGCATCGCCGTTGTCCTCGGCAGAAAGCGACAGAGCGTCGTCATTGCCCGAGCACTTGAGGATCTTGGACAGCGACGCCGTCTGTACACCCAGCGAGATGTTGCGGTCGCAACGGTAGTGCTCGAAGCCCTCGGCACGCAGCAGAAGCGACACTAGGGAAACGTGCGAGCCATCCATGGACTGCAGCGCCAGACCTGACTTGGTGCAGTCGATGTTGCCCTCCGAGATGAGGTCCTTCATGGCCTCCACAATGAGCTTGACGATGCGGCCTTGGGGGAGTCGTGCCTCGAACATGATTGCGTAATGTGTCTAAAGAGAGGGGAGCTAGGAGAGAGCCTGTGTCTGAACCTGACGAAGCAAATTGCCGACTGTTAGCTACGCTTTTTGGTTGGTGTCGGCGTTGGAGGTTTTTGGCGCGAAAAGGCAGCGGGCAGGATGACACGAGGACGCAACACTTTAGTTTTGTAAGAAAAGGGGGAGGGGTGAATTCTCTCCCGCCAAAATATGATTTGGACGAATAGGAAGGAGCGCGCATATGATTGGAAGAGAATTGCAACTGTAACCTTTTGAATGTACCCTGAACTTCAACGTGTACCCCAATCTGTGTCATGATAACTTGTCCAGACGAGCTGAAGGAGGGAGCTTTGTGGCAGGCCGTCGTCTGACTCGAGTAGTGGCTTGTAAGCGAGGTGGGGCAGCCAATGCGCGATGCGATGTGCCACGAACACTGGAGATGCACAAATCTGCCACCGGCAGACCAGTTCTATCGAGTGCGACTACCTTAGTTACTTGTTGTGGTAGCGATCGAAGCTGCGGATTCAGTCTAGCCTTGGACTTAGGTGTTCGTAGTTTATTGCCTTGCTGTGCCATTCGTGTTGGTAGTAGAAAAGTCGGTGATGGTGGAGGGGTACGTCGGTCATTGTTGCTAGGCGGCGTACATCGTAACCTTGAAAGTGGCGAACTACGGAGAGCACTGGTGTCACCTTTACGGCGCATACGACCTTGAGCAAGAAGTGGCTGGACTATTGCATCGCTATCAGCTACCTCAAGCACAGGTACGTCAGGATCTTGATTCGTTCTTGTGTGCTCGAAAGTGGTGAAAGACTTGGCAATACGACATGTATGTAGAACGTGGTACTCCACAGCTGCAACGTCCGGAAAAGTATCTTGTAAACAGTATACACACTCGACGGAATTTTGATTTGAAAGCTTGGAGCTCAGCAGTGCAACTTCTTGTCGTGTTTCCAATACTCCACAGTGCTGTCGATGTGTATCAAAATCCGTGATTTTGACGTAAGTCATGCATTCCTGAAACAACAACGTCTGTCAATCATCCAGAGCGTTCGCGCTACATATTTTACTTACATCGCAGCGCTCGGTTCGACTGGAACATGCGTGAAAATGGTGCGCGATATCCTTCTTCTTAAATGCCAAGCCGCATAAAGAGCACTACAGTCAGCAACCATTAACTCGTCAGTCATCGAGAGAATACTAAAATAATATGTACGTACAGGTATTAACGCGTGGTCGCATTGACGATTGTCCAAGTGTTTCTGCAGCTCTATACGCGTGAAAAACGCATGACATAGTGTACACTTACAGGAGGTAATGTGCTCGTCACGTTGATGATCTTGTAGTGTTTTATCGCTGTCAAACAGGTCAAAGCAGTCTGGACAGTGTCGATGTTTGCTTTCTTGTGCGCACAAGATCTTCTCGTTACATATCGTGCATTGGAACTGCAACAGATGATAAGAATGTGAGCTACGTTATCAGATGATTTTTTTTCCATGGCTGTGTACCTTGTGGTACGTCGGATTCTTGGCACAACGTAGAGTGTGTAGCTCCATGTTTAACGACGATACTTCAGCCAAACATAATTTACACGTGTGGACACTTGTCGAAGCGCGAGAATTGGCAACCTGTTTGCCACCTGAAGTGTCACTAAGCACGGTAGTTGTATCCACTGAACCTCGTAAGTAGTGTGACTGTGTACCCATCCCAAGAGTGTAACCGGGTGTCGAGAAAGCTCTTTGTGCGGAACGAAGTTGTACCGCTAGTAGAGACAATCCCGAAGCTGCTGCAACAACACGAATTGGTGCATTTCTGTCTCGAACAAGTTTTTGAGCCTTCTGCAAGCTCAGGGGAATTCTGCGAGGTGGTTCTTCAGCTGATACAGTAGATACGTTCTCCACGTATCCTCCATCTCGCAACCTTCTTCCGTAACCAGTTACACAGGTCGGAGCATCTTTCGGAGATGCTGTCGTATCGACCGGATCAGCTAAACTGTCCCATGTTCTTTCACTTGAAGTCGACGATTTTGCTGTTGACGGTCTCATGGGGTCAGATCCCTAAACGGAACATCAAGGAATTAGTTAGACTATCATAAATTATCATGATAAAAATATCAGAGAGTTCACCTCTGGAGGCATGAAGTCTGTCTCTAGATCCACGTCGCCACACAAAGATACTACCGGTGCAGGTTTTAGCTCGGCTACTTGGACGTGATACCGTACGGTGCCGTATTCAATCACAATGGTAGAGCCCATGCTCAAAACGGAGTATCTTCGCAGTGCTGTCTCCATCAACAGCTATGAGAGAGTTTAGTTAAAAGTTGATATTATTTTTTAGTATTAATTGTTATTTACCTTGGGGCCAATCTCCGCAGCGAGGTCGAGAAAACTTGTGCTCTCTGGCTGGAAACGACAATAGATACCACGAGGAAGGTTGACAACACTGGTTACCACTACCCAGTCACCTTCTGGTACACGTAAGTTCTGCATAAGCCAGTACGGGAGGAACACTTGTCCATCCGGGGCGCTAAATTCCTGGACAGAGCAGTATTGACGAGTGCACACATCCGGATATCGCTCGAAGTGCAAATCTTGGGATGCAGATCGAACCTATCGAGTTCAAAACACCGTAAGCTCTTTCACTAATTTTATGTCTGCAAAATGTCTAGGTTTTACCATGAACAGCAGAGGAGTCGGGATCTTCAAGCATTGTAGCTCGAGTAAGATTTTCTATTCATTTCGAGTCAGCAGACGTACACTTCTGCAGTTTCTAAAAGATTACTTTACCGGTGGTAGCACGATCTTGTCGCCAAATTCGAGATGAGGCATGTCTGGACACATACACACACCGGGTTGGCTTGATTCAAATGAAGTACTGCATGAAGAGTACTTTACCGAGGCACGCTACCGAGAAGCATTGCAGTTTGTGTGAAGATTTGTGGTCACCGCCATCGTGTCGCAATGGCGAAGGAGGACTCTTCTTCAACATGGGCAGCAACTATATTTAAATTAGTGCGTTTCAAGATAAGCAGGGTATTGATTGATCAGGCTCATTTATTATATTCCTAAGAGTTTCTATTTTTTCTTGTTTTTTTTTACACGTGAGAAATTATATTCTGTGAAAAAGAGTATAATTTCTCATGTATCGAAAAAAGCTCAGTTTCTTTCAAGTACCGGTATCATTTTGACAGACAGGTATCTTCGAGATCGTTCTAGCATGACTACGACGCATTGATGTGCCGCTGGTACCTTTAGGTACCTCATCACGGTTAGCGCAGAAGATCATTTACATCAAAGTGGTCATCGGGAAAACTATCTACAGAGCGTCTGCGCCAAAGATGTGTTGTTGTTTCATGCGATGCTCCAGAAGTGACCAATTTTACGAAAGGGGGGAGACGGGGTGTTAGGAATATGTTAAGGCGAGAACTTCAGCTAAATTTGCAAATTTCGCCGCTGACATATTTGACTCTGTGGTATTATGCCGCTGCATCCATTTGCTTGTTGTCTCAGCTGTACAAGGGCTGCGATGCATGGTGGTCGGAACGAGGATCTGCGCGACTGTAAATCTGACAGAATCGATGGAGTCAGTTTTCTTATGCTTTTGCGACGGCGGCTCAAATCCCGAAGGAAGTGGGGATCAATCCGTTGAGGAAAATCGGTTTTCCGATAGGCGGTAACATCCATAGGCATAAATCACTTTTGCTAGGCACGATCGAGCTCTTCGGTCACCAGCTATCACTTTGCGACTTGCATTAAGTGCTGCAAACGTCCTTTCCTGTCCTCAAGTCCGCCCACTTCACGCCTCAACCTCTGGACACTCCTCTCCAGTGTCTTCAGACATGGTTTCAAGTCGTCAAGTTCAAACTCCACTCGCCGTTATTGGTCCTGTTCATGTCTCCGAGTTGATGGAGCTCTGTTACGTCCGTCTGCGCAGCGTGGACGGGGACGACGCGATCGCTTGTGTTGTGGGGCCCGACATTGGGGATGATGGACCAGGGCTGGTGATGTCAGTCTCCAAAACGAATATCCATGCTGGACGCAGCCGAAGCCCGTATATGGCCAGGAAGCAACATAGCTCATGTGGTAGCATTTTTCACCAACTGGTGATGCCAGTCTCCAAAATGTATATCCATGCTGTGGACGCAGCTGAAGCCCGCATATGGCCAGGAAGCAACATAGCTCATGTAGTAGCACTTTTTTTCACAAACTGGACCCTGTGCTGGTCAGTGGGCCTATGGAGTCGTCTTGCATTATGAAGTCAGCTTGGACGGAACATGACTAAGTGTGCTAGCTGCCGGATATACCGTATCTGTGCCACCTTTTTCGGAACCTGCGCGTGTCATCAAGGCCATCCTTGTATCGTACGCTCTTCAGATCGACGCGACTACTTTCGACATGATTCGAAATTCAAACGAAGTATTGCTCCAGCAAAACAGTGCGATAAATCTTGCCGCAAGCGCAGAGGTGACGTAATGGCGTCGACCAAAGCAACACCATCCGTACCATTTGTGGAAAACGAGTTGACCACTGCATCCCCACGACCTGACAATGGTGTCTGTCCGCCGGCAGCACATCCTGGACGATATGGAGGAGGGGAAAGCACAAGAAGAATACATTTCATCTTTATTATGACCCTCAGCCTTCACTACAAGGAGATGTCGAGACGGCGTCAAGGCGGGTGGGTGATCTACTCAGTCTGTTTAGTATATCCGTAGGTGATGACGTTCAGAAGATTAGACGGCTGAATTGAGCTCTGGGGAAACGAAACCGCTCCAGTGGTGATGCTCAGCAGCTTTCACACCCAAGATTGAACCAGTTCGACTGCGACCACGACGGCAAAAGTGACGATGAGCCCGGCCGCGTGGGGTTTCGCCCATCAGCTGTGTATGAAATCAATATCGGTCATGAGTTGTACAGGCAATGGTCAAGGCGGGTGTTTTCGATAACTAGCGAGTTCTCTTTAAGCATCAAGAGCTCCCTAACGTTACAAGAGCCTATTTCACATGAAGGGCGAATGACGCTCGAGATGTCCAAGGCCGTGTTCGCCGATAATGCATATTATTGTAAAACGCATACTGACATACTCGTCGAAGGTCTCGTTCCATACTCGAGAAGCTTGCTTGAGACCGTAGATCGCCTTAGCAGTTCCACGCAGTCGTAGCCGAGTCCTTTGCTGAGATGAGACAGGTGATCTGGGGGTCGGCAAACTGTGTTGCTGCTGAAGGCGATGGGCTATCGGTGCAACAGCCGACCAAACAGCCTCATCCTGTCCGACTGGAGTCTGACCCGTGGCGGCGCTGAGCTCTGGCAATGGAAGAAGAAGTTAAGAGTGGCGTTTGGATTGGAGAAGGCCCCTGGTGGAACGAAGAAGGTATATAGCCGAGTAGCCGAGAGTCAGATATGGTTCGAACATAGTTTCAGTTCAGTTGATGCGTGTTCGATTGATGTAAGTGTTCTGAGAGTGAATGATCATAGTAACGGACATTCAAGAGGCACCCCTAGTAGGAAACCGATACCGAAAGAGCAGGCCACAGCGACCCTTCAACACAAGAGCGACCCTTCAGCACATAATCATAGTATGTCTTCTTTAGATTACCAAAACAGCTATTCTGAAAAAACGCATATTAAGCGGAGATAATACGTATTATGAATGGTCGCGTTCGTTCGCCAAAATACGTATTATGGGCTAGATAATACGTATTATGTGCTCAACGAACACGGCCCGAGGTTGTGTTTTCGCCGGTACGGCCACCAGCACGTGTAAGCATTTTAGCTCTTCATCGTTGCCAGCTCCACTAAACTTGCTCGAATGCCTCGGGGACGTATCAGAAATTGATCATCTCCGCAGCTTATGCGAGTTTGCAGCGGCGTTTGGTCTCAAAATGCCGCCTTTCAACGACGGTGACGTCGCAATCGACACCAATTTGGTCATATTTATGTCTGACCTCGCTATTTAGTCTCAATTGGCATTCCCAGTATTTTTGCGCCTCTTTCGTGGTTAATCCGACGACGACGGAAGACCAAAAAAAGAGCACTTTACGAGCTTCCAGTACAGCCTGGTTCGTCAAGCCACGACGTGTTCGTGGAGTGGAATGACATCGCTCGAGACGCTGTCCGGTCACGATGGACTAGCTCCAAGTCTCGTGCTCAGTTGCACCGACCTCCCAACCACAAGAACCCCATCAATCACGCAGCTGCCATACGCCGCATATTCGGAAAGTCCACTGCCAAGGTCAATATTTAGTGCTCGACGAACACGTGCTACGACTCTGGTCCGAGCTATTAGTCAATCCAATTGATGTTGTGGCGAAAGGTGAGCACGGTACCCGCATGATCAGCGATTTTCATACTCACGAAGCAGTGATGGCCAAAAATACATTGCAGGTATTGGTACGGTTTGCAATACTGAGAAATACTTTATTGCAAGCGCTCTGGGGTATTGCAATACATATTGCGGCAACGCTGGGAGCTGCGGTACATATTTTCCAGCGATTTCGGCGATCCCTTTAAAGTCGGTTCCCAAAGGTCGCAGTGTTTGCGCGTCAAGTCTTTTGGCGCGAGCTCAGATGCCCATCGAGTGGCCAGCAGCGTTCGCGCCTTCAAAATGGGCGCGAATTTGACCGCTCCACCACCAGCCAGCTCTCATTCTGCTTTTTGCAGCCTTCCCTGCAGACGCCATGGCCCTCCAGTCCAGCCAGCTTTCTATCGACCGCATTCCCGCAGACGTCCGCTTCTACTATTATAGCGGCAGAAAATGATGGGGCTAGCTAATCCAAAATAAATTATTATCTTTGGATAATCGGCGATAACTTCACCAAAATAGCCTTAAATTAAGTGCAAAGGGCGATGATAGAAAGCTGAGGTTTCGTAGTTCCTTCTTCCATAAATTAAGACTCTTCATCTCTTTCATTTCAGGAAGTGCAATGCAACGCAGACACCAGCTCAGTCCGGACGAGAAAACCCTAGTTTGCAATGTATATGATTATTTCGTCGCCGAGGCCAAAGCAGGCAGAAGTGGAGGGCGGGACTCGCGCGATCGAACTAAAGAGGCGACGCGCCTTGAAAAAACGCCCAGCTTTTCTGGTGCTCTGGGCATGGAACCTCGACCCAGACACCAATTTCGCCGAGGTGCGCTTGTCATTTTGGCCTATGTAGGGTTAAAACCGCTCTGTCGTGATATCATATGAAAATCTTATAATTTAATGCTTTCGCTAGTAGAATGTACCATTCAGCACGAGGTCGCAAGAAGCTAATGAGGAAGATGATGAGTAATTACTCTTTAAATTTATACAAATCCTTCTTTTTAAATTTGGACGTTTTATTTTTAACGCATGTTTGTACAACTGTTTTGCCCTTTCCACACTCTTGACCAATAGAATATCAGCATTATAGCAACTGTTTCCCCGTTTAAAGGACCTTTTTGGGGAGCCTGTAGCGACAAAACTGCTGCGAATTAGCCGGTTTTAGCACCAAAATCATACTCAAAATGGGCGGTTTTATCACATATCTAAATGTCATATCTGGTTTTATCAAAATTGAGCACCCCATGGGGATTTGATTACTAGCCCCTTCATTTTCTGCCGCTACAATACGACATATCGGTCGTCGACGGCGAGGTCTCGTACCAGTGCCGAAAGTGCCCCGCCAGACCAAAACAGGCTTGGAAGTCCGGATACTCGAACTTACGGAAGCATTTAACGAGCTGCGTTGGTGCAGATTACGTAAATCTTGTTCCTCAAGCATAATCGTTTTCTTTGGAACGCCACCATGGTAGCTCAGGCGATGAAGGATGCCGGTGGCAGCAGCAGCAAGGCTGGTACGCAGGATTA